AATGAGATATCACCTCACACCTGTAAGAGTGGTTATCATCAAAAAGACAAGACATAATAAGTGTTGGCGAGGATGTAGAGAAAAGGTAACCCTTATGCACAGTTGATGGGAATGTAGACTGGTGCAGCCACTATGGAAAACAGTATGGACATTCCTTAAAAAGTTAAAAATAGAACTATTGTATAATCCAGCTATTTCATTTCTGGGTATATATATATATCCAAAGGAAATGAAATCATTGTCTCAAAGAGCTGTCTGGACTCCCATGTTAATTGCAGCATTATTCACAACAGCCAAGGTATGAAAACAACCTACATGTTTAACAACAGATCACCGAATATAGAAGATCTGGTACGTATATGCAAAAGAATATTATTCCACATGAAAAGGAATGAAATCCTGCCATTTGGATCTTGAGGGCATAATGCTCAGTGAAATAATTCAGACAGAAAATAAAAAGTACTGTATGATCCCAATCATATATAAAATCTAGAAACACTGCCCAAAACATGGAAACAGAAGGGAGCATGGTGGTAGCCAGGAGCGGAGGGTGAGAAAGGGAGAGATGTTGGTCAAAGGGTACAAGCTTTCAGTTATAAGATGAGTAAGCTCTAGGAATCTAATATTCAGCATGATGACTAATAGTTCACAATACTACTGTACTGCACACTTAAAAGTTGCTAAGAAAATAGATGGTAGAAGATGTTCTCACCACAAGAAAAGAAATGGTATTTATGTAATGAGATGGTGGTGTTAGCTAAGGGCTATGGTGGCAGCCATTTTGCAACATCTAAGTGTAGCAAATCAACCAGTTGTACACCTTAAACTTACACATGTTCTTTGTCATGTATATCTCAATAAAACTGGAATAGATACTAAGAAAAAACACAAGTGGATTATAGATATGGAGAATGGAATATAAAAGATCAATAGATCTATAACATGACATCCAAATTTAGACACCCAGCTCAGCTATTTCTTGAATTCCAGACTGAAATATTCACTCTGTAATAATGGTACTTGGATATCCCACAGAACCTTATATTTATTCGTTTACTTAATCTACAAATATTTTTAAATATTCACCAAATTTAACTGGAGTATCCCCTCAGAACTACACCTTCTCCAAACGATCATGAGGTAGGTCTTACAGCTTCGAACTTTGTTCATTTACCCCTCCTCTGATCCCCTTCAACGATATAAGGTAGTGCCAAATGTCCTTTCCTTTTATCTGTATTACTGCAATAGCCCCCTAAATGTGTCTTTTGGGGTCCAGTCTTGCATTTCTTTTAATCCAACCTCTACATAGAAGCCCAGCTGCTATTTCTAAAGTGCAAGTGTGATCTTGTTACTTTTCTGATTGAACCCCTTTAAAGACTCCCCATTACTCTTAGGAGAAAAAGCCAAGGTCATTGATTTGACTTACAAGGACTCATTTCTGCTCCTTCTGCAGCCTTAGTCTTACTGTGTTCCCACTGCGCTTCAGGCTCCAGCCCTCCTGCACAAGTTCTGCAGTCCCTTCTGCCAGCAACAATCTCTACTGTGCCATCCCTCCTGTCACAACCTGACACCTGTTTACCTCCAAATCCCAGCTTTGGCTTTGAGACCTTCCCCATCCACCTTTAAGACTGGGCAAAATGCCCCTCCCAAGTGCTCCTTTATAGCTGGTACTTAGTTTTATCCTAACACTGACCCAGACTCTGTCCTTTACTGTTTGTTTACCTACATCCCCTACCAGACCTTCACCTTGTGAGCAAGCATTGTGTCTAATTTATAGTTGTATTCCCATTACCTAATCCAGAGCATGGCACACAGTAGGTATTCATTACATTGTTGTATAAATTAAAAAAGGAAAGAAGGGAAATAGTCCATACTTTGGACTAGTTGGTAATACTTTGGGTAGTTGGACAATACAGATTCCTTTTCATTGGTTTCCTACCTAAATCAATAAACTCGAATTTTATGTATCACCATTTCCAGAAAGAATTCCATTTTAATTTTACAAAATTAAGCTGAATAACTTCAGAAATGGCAAAAGGATCTTTAAACACAATTTAGTGGAGATTTTGGGAGGTGAGAGACTTTGTTTGCTCTTATATTGAAAAAATATATATTTAAAAACAGCTTGTCACAGTACCTGGCACAGAGTAGGTTCTCAATTTTAAAATTGTTTCCTCATGCTGCCAGAACACTAATTTCTGCAAACATTCCTATTTTCTCTACTTCCCTCCTCCCTAAAAAGGAGCGTAATAAAAACCATTCTTCATGCACACACACACACAAAGAAGGAAGAGGCATGGCCAAACACAGAGACATGGCCTCATTTAGTTCAAATGTTAAATCTTAAAAATAAGCAAAAAGAAATGATATTTTATTCAACTAAATACAGGTTTTGTTTCAGACGCTTGTTGTAGAGGAGTGTGTGTGAATTTCTGTCATTTAGGTGAGATGGCCCCTCCATGGAGCCAGGTTGAACTATGCCTACTATGGGCAGGGACATTGTAAACTAACAGAGAGAACAGTTAGGGATATAATCAATTCTAGAATGCCAGCCAGAGGAATACTTGCCAAGGAGGGAAAGCACATGGGACCCTGATTTTGAGGGCCACCGGTATTTACTTTGCAGGGAAACAATCTGGGGAAGCAGACCTCCATTCAGGAAGATGAGCACTAATGCTGTGCGTTCATTATGTGATGTGTGTGTGTGTGTGTGTGTGTGTGTGTGTGTGTGTGCGCACGCGCACGCCTGCCTGACTTGTGGACATCTTAACCATGCAAGACACAGTCAAGGCAAATGAAGACAGTTGTCAGAGGATGAGAAGTAGAGATACAGAAACACAAGTTTTATTTTTCTGTGTAAATATGTAAAAGGCATAATCACACACAATGCAATTATAAATAGAGAGACATAAAGGGAGAAAGGAAAGTATTTTTGTTTTAAGTCAGGTATCTCATGACAGGACATTTGGAAAATAGAAAAGCGATTGACAGTGACAATGACAACAGAGACATCAGAATTTCACAGAGAAAGTGTTCGTGAATGACTCAGATATATTTGGAAGATAACAAATTAACACTGAAGTGGTCTGTAAGTATATAAGTACAGATATGTCCAAAAAGGGAGTCAATATGAAAGCCGTATGTATGTAGCTATAATCGATTTTATGCTTACTTCAAATATCTGGAAATGCAGACATTGATGGGGGTTTTCCCCAAGTCTCTTGTCACAAAGTCCAAGTTTGTAACGGACCCATCTGAGACAGCGGTATGCTACATGCTGCCTGGACGGGAGCGAGAAGAAGGAGGTTAAAGAAAGAGTTCAAAATCAGTTGCTTCCCATTTGAAATGACTGCCAGTTTCCTGGAGGATTTGAATTTGCCGCATAAAATCTTCTATGACTATTGAAAAATAGAATTGAATCCATTGCCTTTGCTTTTATACTATACCATTTTGTCCTTTTGTTTTGGTTGGTATATTTAGGTCTTCCTTGGTCATTTCCACAGAAAAACAACTTTCTTTAAGCAATTGGGACATTTTAAATGAGGATTGGATATCACCCAATGGATAAATTGCCCTCGTGTTGTCAAACCAGGGCAGCTCCTAAAGACACAGACACATTTACAAAATTATATTTGTCAGGTCGTGGTTATTGTAGTTGTTTTCTCAATTAATTCATAGGATCAAACCGCTTTTCTCTCTAAATGAGCACAATGTCTTCTTTGGAAGGGTACATCAGTACAGAGATATTTAGCAGAAATTCTAACGTGCCAGTGGAAGGAATTAAAAATATTTTCAAATGAAGTTTTTTTAATTACTATTATATTTAGTCTATTAAGCTAAGAAATGTATATAAATTTTTTGCATATCTTATTAATTTACTTGGTAGAGCCATCATTTCAGGTATATATTTAAAAAAAACATAATGCCAAATATATTTTGATAATGAAAGGTACTATGCTTCTATGGTTTTTTCAGAAAGATAATTAAAGATGATACGTTTACTTGCAAATTTTGAAAAATATGCCTCCAAGAAATCAAGTTTTATAATATATATTTTTTGGTGTATAGATATACAACAGTACTTATTTTTTCTTTAATATGCATCAAAAAGCAATTCAAATCAGTCCATTTGGTGGAAATGTCAGCAAGCTCATAAATTTATAAGCAATTAACCAAAAAGTACTCTATTTGAATAGAAAGTATTTCAGGAAAAAGAAATGGAAGTAGGGCTTCTCTGTCCTATTGAAGGAGAGGTTTTGTGGAATCAGAAAGTATACTGGTGAGGAATAATTTGAGTTTTGATACCAATTATATCAGAAAATTTTCTTTCTCCATTTTAGGGATCTTGTGTGATTCCCTGCTTTCTCTTTATATATATTTTTAACTTCCCAGAGAGTTGGCAACACTTCATTTGAACAGCTATGTATAAAAACATAGATGGATGTAAAAAGGTTTAATCAGTCATTTTCAAACTGTCATGTTACGAATAATAGATGGGAATGAAAGAACATAAATGCCTTAGGATCTGGGTGCATGGGGCAACTTCCATTACAAAAGCACACACAGAAATGGAGTGTGGGAGAAAATCAGTTCTCATTGCAGTGGTCACTCCAATATGGAAGCACCAAGAAAGACAATGTACTTGTATGAAGTATACTCAATGATGAGAAGCTTTCGGTTATGTTAAGAACAATATTTTTTGCATAGATAGCTGAAATAGGTAAATACTTAATATTCTCATAGTACGCTCGTGGTACTATGAATTTATTTTAATTTTCAAGGTAGTTTTTCTTTTTCTTTTTTAGAGTCTAAAGTGAGTCAAGGCATTTCTTGAACTTCGATGGCTTTTACGTTTAGGAATGTCTCAGGGAGTGTTAGTTATCGTCCTGTTCACCCCACTCAACAACTGCCTCGTCGTTCATGCGCAGAATGAGGTAAGAAAGAAGCTGAAAGAGATTCTGCCAGAGTAAGAGAGACACATAAAAGGAGAGCCCGCTTACATCCACCTCGCAGCGTTCACCCCCGAAGGCCACATCACAGACACACTGGAACTTGTTGACCAGGTCCTGGCACAGACCGCCATTGAAGCAGGGATCTGAGGCACACTCGTCAACGTCCCTTTCACACCTTGAATAGAAACAGAAATAGCAGCAACCTTGGTCTCTGTTGAATAAATTGGCTGGGAAATGGGGTAAAGAAAAAAATTGTTGCCTTATCTACTTGGAACAGTACGGTCTGACTTACCAACTTCCATACAACTTACATATACTTACTGATGTGGGACATATTCCTCAAAATTTCTGTAACAAATTTTGTTTTTAAGAGAAATAACTTGTACACACGCACAGTTAATTAGAATGAGAAACCAGGTGCAAGTATTTAGAAACCAAGAAAAAACCTGAAGAAAGGTTGTTTGTCTCTGAAGAGCATTTAGCATCTTTGCCACTTTCAGTTCAGTTTACTGGGGGCACATGGGAACCATGAGGCTATATTTGGCCCACCTGGAGTCTACAGAGCAGACCTAGGCTCCTGCTGTCAGGATTCTAATGCATCCAGGCCTTCAGGCTATGGGGGGAAAGAAAGCCCACCAAAAATAGGGGGGGAAATCGGTTTATCCTTGAAGATTTGGGATTATTTTGCTTTGGAATCTTATTTTTCTCTTTTCTTTTTGGAATCCTGTTTTTCAACAAAAAGTAAAAGTAGATAATTAGAATATTTCAGTTGCTAATAAATATGTTTCATAGCTAAGTGTAATTTTAAAATATTCAGGTAGAATGACTTTCAAGAGCTAAATTTTCCCAAAAAAATGGTATCAATTCTAAGGAATACTGAAATGTTCCTCTTCCCTGGGACACTGTCATCTTTCACCCGACCTTCTGCCAACAACTTGTTTTTCCATATATTCGCCAATTAATTCACCAGTCATTTTCATTCAGTTGTTCAGTCTGGTATGTATTTAGCACTTATCATGTGCCAAACACTGTTAGGCCTCCGCATAGAGCAGTAACTAAAGCATCTCTTTTACTTTGCAAAATTCATATAAAATGTTAGCTCCAAGAATCCCTAAAGAGCAACTTAAAACGTCGAAGTGTAATGTAAACAATTTTTCATTCCTCGCCTCCCAAAAGGTAAAACTTGCATGCCTGGGTCATCGACTAATCACTAGGCTCAAAATGAAGGGGGATAACGGGGTGGGTGGGGAGGGCCAACCCAAGGTATAAAGGAAAAAAAGATTTCTTCCCAGAAAAACAGCTCCTTATCCTGCTGGATAACGAGCATAGCTAAGACATTTTGTTTTCCTTTTTTGGCTCAGATTTCTGGACTGGAAGGAGGCTTCTCTGATTAGATCTGAGCAAAACCTGACAACTTGTGAGAGCCTGCCAAGCACTCTTTGTCCTGGGTGGGCCAGAGTGTTCACACCATCCATCATTTACGACCTGCCAGGATGACACTATAAAGTTGGGGGTTTAGCCAGGCAGAAGAGGAGGCAATTTGCAGGAAGAAAGCTTTTCCATATCTTTGGACGTTATGGAAGTCCCATTCCCCTAGGCCTTGGGAGACTGTCTAGTATTTTCCAGTCTTCCTCTGGCTCTTCTTTTCCCATTTTTTATCCATTTCTCTTTTGAACCAGTGTACCACACATACACATTCATTATAAACATTACTGGAGCTTTCATTAGAGGTTAATTAATAGATCGGCAATCAAAATAAATAAATCTATTAACATCCAGTGAATTAACTGATCATGCTTAAGGACTTTGAAAGTACAACATCTATTGAACGTGTGTTCACTATTTTAGAAATCCATTTGCAGCAGAGAAGTTGATACAGAGGAGAGTCCCAGGGAGAGACAGGAAAACTTGAAGCTTCCTTTCCTTTCCTAGGCATTTCAAAGAAAGGATTTGCATTTAAATGCAAGATTATTCTTTTAAACAAGTGTTGGAGGAAAGGGACACGTTTATTGTAAACAGGGATAATGCGTGAGTAGCAGAGAAAATAGTCCAAGGCTTCGGATGCGTCTATGCATTATGCCATTGAACATTAATGTGACATGAAGCATTCACCTGTGACACGGAGGCAGGAAATAACCAGCGCTTAAATATAGTGAAAGAGTTGGTCAAGGAAATATTTAGCACGAGGAAATATTTGCACTGTTTCGGAGGGATATGGAATTGGAGGCCAGCTGAATGGTCTCTGGTTAACAATACCTTGCATGGTAAAAAGTGGCTCAATAGAAAGTAGAATATGCTCCAAGGCTGTGTCCTTCCATACACATATATGCTTGGTCTGTGTGTACTGCTTGGAGCCAACCACTGAAAGCAGGCTGTGAAGGCAAGAACTAGATTTGTCACTGAACGCTGCATGGGTAAAAGGTAGGTATATCAGAGATTGCCTGCTATTTTGTAAAAAACGGCAATATAGCTGTATCTTGTCATGCCAAAAGAGCCAGCTGGAAAAGAGAAAATTCAAATGAATCCAAATTGCAATTGTCATGGAACACAAATTATACCCATAATTTTATTAACTTCCCTTTTGAGAAAAATTCATTCAGTCAAACTCTCTCAAATGCTTTGTATTTTCATTTATCTAATTTGTTCAATGTGGGAAGTTTGATCAGAGATCACTATCTTGTGCTGGACAGCATATGAGATGAAGGAGTACTTTTCCCATTTTCTTTTAATTTTTGCAAGCAAAGATTTATTCATTTTTGTCAGCACATCCAAAAGATGAGCACAGGCTTTGAGGGCAGCTTGACCTCACTGCAGCACACATCTGGATTGGCACCTGACCTGTAACTTAACCCCTCAGCCCCAGTTTTTGCAAATGCAAAGTGAGATTAATAACAACTAGAGGTGATATTTATAAGATGCATGACTTAGGGCTCAACAAATGGTTAACTCTTTATTATCTGCTTATATAGAGATATATAAGAGGTTATAGAGAGCCCTGGTATATAATCAGGACATTGATCCTTTTGAGAAGCTGATAAAAGCTGTGGAGTATATTCCTTTTTTTTTTTCTTTTAATCTTTGACCTCACCTTCAGCTAGTCAAATGCATATCCAAATTTGGCTGCATTTTCAGCCATCGTCTGAAGCCACTGGCCAACTCCCTATCAACAATCCCCGTATTAAGTGAAGAACTGTTGAAGGGTTTCTCTGGGAAAGATAGGCTCATATGGATAAGCCGCATATACTTTCGGGGTTCTAGATCATTCTATGAGGTAATCTTTTAGGTATATTTTATTTTACTTCAACAACAACTATATTTGCATTACTTATTCGAGTCAGCAGGAAAGAAACATGAATCCAGAAGTACTTATCAGAAAGAAAACTAGCACATTTTACATTTTTTCAAAAGACATATTTTCCTATTTGAAGTCTTGGCTAATAAAGTGTTCTTTACTTTGACCTAAACTGTGATTTTTCTTCTTTTTTATTGTTTGACTCTGGTTGGACCTACATTTCAGCATGGATTTTCCTATGGGAACTGAGATGAAAAATTAGAGGAGAGATCAACCTTGTATAATCCCACTGTTTTTCAGCCCAGAACTCTCTTCTATAAAGTTCTAATGTGACTCACCATTCCCCAGTATAACCTGGCCAGCACAGACATTTTAATTCACCCTGGAACTCCGAGCAGTTGCCTCCGTTGTAGCAAGTGAGATTTGTCTTCTCATTCCCACAGACTGTTGAGGGTAATCTGGTGTGTCTAGAGAGATAAAAGTAGCAGCCACAGCTGTTCATTTTGTTCGTTTCATTCAAGAAAACTTTTTGGAAAAGTTCATGTATGTAGTCAATGCCAAACTAATTAACTACTCAGGCTGGCTGAGCTACAGATGCTTGATTGTGCTACACTATACACAGTCACTTTCTCCGGGTAAACAGCTCCTGCTGGAGGGTGCTATAACAAGCATGGCTGTATATCTTCTGTTTCTACAGTTTTCATTGGTGAGATAAGATCTGTGCCGTGGGGTGGCAATAAATTTAGGGCTGGGAAGAAACTTGCTATAGCTTGGTTTGCTGCTGCCTTGCTTATAATAAATCAACACAGGCCATGGAAAATTGCATCTCTATAAAGGCCAGGAAAGCAAGGACAGCACTCTGGTACCCAAGCACTCATGTGATTTCTCTGTAGGCTTTCAGAGCTGAAGTCCGCTTACCCCACCAACACTTGTTGGTCTCTATCCAGTGATTCATAGCTTAGCTGAATGCAAGCCAAATGCTGTCCAGGAGGATTGTATATAGCACTCAGTGGCAACTGTATGTGAATTCAAGAGGGTGGCTCTTTTGTATAACAACAAAGCTGCACATATTAAGGAATCCTTATACAAGGCAGAACAAATTGTTAGAAGCTAAGCAGAACTTGACTACAAGGCAAGATCCAGAGGTGTGAAGGACTGATTAGAAGAGATTTTAAGGGTGTCGTTCAGGTCCTTTGACCCACTGTGCATGGTATCTGATACATAATTAATGTTCAGGAAATGTAAGATGAATTTAATTTTGTCCTGTTGTGCGCGCTGCAGCTAATATGGAGAAACTAGCCTATGTGTCGGTAAGTGTGTCTCTTCCCACAAGAACTAATCAATTCGACTTTAAAAAGAAAATATCATAAGGACTTTTCAAAAGAACGAAAAATGTCAACCAGCTTTGAAAGAGGTCAATTAGCAATGCAAATGTGAAGCTTTGTATACATCTTACGTTCAATAAACAATTTTTGAATCTCATTAGAAGGTACTTTTGAGAACTTTAATCTTTGGGAACTTGACTTTGATGAATTAGGCAGGAAAAAATACTGGAGAACTAGTTACTGGGGCATGTATGTTTACTTTACTTATCCAAAGCCACCATGGCAATACTATTAATTTTGATCCTGAATGTCTTTTGCTTTTAAACAGGCACTTTGTCTATTGGCAAATGAGCCCATTTTAACTCATGGAAAGTGACATATAACTGAAATGTCAACACTTAGCACCTAATACTGTGCCTTGCCTTCATAGGTTATGAACAGCAATGAATGTTATGGAGATAAATACATTTTCTTTTTTTTGAAAGAGAGAGAGTGAGCAGGGGGAATTGGCAGAGGGAGAGGAAGAAGCAGACTCCCCGCTGAGCAGGGAGCCAGACGTGGGGCTCGATCCCAGGACCCTGAGATCAGGACCCGAGCCAAAGGCAGCGGCTTAACTGACTGAGCCACCCAGGCACCGCTAAATACATTTTCTTATAGGTATGGCTACCTGTTCTGTCTGCTGGGAGATTCATCCCATTAGGGTACCTACCACCTCTCAGTTAGTGTTATGTCTGCAGGCTGCCAACCCACTCCAGGTGCTCCTGCCAAAGTCTGGGAATATATTACTTGTTACTAATAATCCTCTCACCTCCCCATAATGACTCAATTGTTTAGTGAATTTAAAAGCACTATAAGTTATAAAATAATGAATTCTACTTACGTGGAAACACTGAAGCCATGTGACTTAGCAGGGAAATATTGTTTCTTATTTCTGTTTATGTAACACGAGATGGAGGTCATTACTAGAATTAAAACACTGCTTTAGTAGTTTCAGAAAAAATTGTGAAATATGTCGAAATGGGCAAAAGATATTCCTGAGTATTCTTTCTTTCTTTCTGTCTTTCTGTCTTTCTTTCTGTCTTTCTTTTTCTTTCTTTTTTTTAAGATTTTTTATTTATTTGACGGAGAGAGACACAGCAAGAGAGGGAACACAAGCAGGGGGAGTGGGAGAGGGAGAAGCAGACTTCCCACGGAGCCGGGAGCCCGATGCAGGGCTCGATCCCAGGACCCTGGGATCATGACCTGAGCCGAAGGCAGACGCTTAACGACTGAGCCACCCAGGTGCCTCCTGAGTATTCTTTCAATGGAATGTTGGGTGTTATGTAAAGGACACTCTAGAATTGTTTGATTTTGTAGTAGGTATGCCTTAGATTTTCTTCACTAAGCTATTTTACGACTCTATAAGTTGTAGAAAAATGACATTAATATAAATGGATTCTGCTCACTGAAATGCAAATGAATTTGTCCATAGTGATATAATTGTCACAGGGAAGAAAAGTTTCAAATATTAATTGTATTGCTCTATAAAAAATTAGTTTTGCATTCATTAGTAACTTCATTCCCTCATCTTTATTTATATATATTTGTGTTTATGTGGATAATAAAAATATATGCAATTATTATATATGTACATATATAAATAATTAGGTTGTCCTTTGACACTTTTTTATATCTTACTCATTTCCTCATTAATTAATGACTTAAATGAAAACATCAAAGCATGTTCATTTATCTGAGAGTTATAATTTCACTTTCTCGAAATTATAATTTAGCATAGACTTTTCAAGATTTTATGAGATTTACCTGCCTGGAATAGTCAAGGGCATTGTTTTAGGGGTAGAAGTCATGCTTCCTCGAACAATATGAAAACCAAGCTTTTGGGGGGCACCTGGGTGGCTCAGTCGGTTAAGTGTCTGCCTCTTGATTTTGGCTCAGGTCATGATCTCAGAGTCATGAGATGGAGCCCTGTGTTGGGCTCTGAGCTCAGCAGGGAGTCTGCTTGGGATTCTCTCTCCTTCTGCCTCTGTTCCTCTCTGCACTTGCTGTCTTTCTCTCAAAATAAATAAATGAATCTTAAAAAAAGAAAAAGAAAGGAAACCGAGCTTTTGCATTTATTGTAAAAAATATTTGTTTCTTGAGGCCTTAAAGCTATCAAACTCTGGGGCTACAGTTCATGAGATATATTCTAACAAAGATGTCAGAGAAAACGTTTTGCTGAAAGTCTGCTCAAAACACTGCCATTCTTCCTTGTAGAACATCCCACCATGTGAGATCCCGTCTACATGACCAAACCATGGTGGAAGGGGCTCATGTCACTCCTGTTCAGCACAGCCTACGGATGCATGGCTGAAAAAGCTTTCCAATTCGACAAGGAAAATGGAGAGTATAGCTCCAAAGGCTGAGCTTTACATGAACTTCATGCTCACCTGCAAAATTTTCCTGTGAAATTTCCAAAACAGCGGCAAGAATAGCCATTGGGGTTGCTGATGCAGGTGGCCCCGTTTGCACACTGGTGACTCTGGCAATTGTCTATATCCATTTCACAGTTCACACCGGTGTATCCAGCCTCACACCTGCAGTGATAGGCTGCAACTCTGTCAGAGCAGTTGCCATGGATACAGGGGTTTGAAAAGCATTCATCAATGTTGAGTTCACAGCGTGTCCCTGACCATCCCAAGGGACATGAGCAGTGATAAGAGCTATAGATGTCTTCACAATTTCCTCCATGCAAACAGGGATTGGAGTTGCAGGCATTCAACTGCAAACAGCCAGTAGCCACTGAATTTATAGAGATTTTGAGAAACTGCTCTTCCTGTGGTTTATTAGTGACACCAGGAACATTTTCAAAGTAAGAGAGATAAATGCCACTGATTTCTATTGTACTTAGACATCCTTTCAGGCCCTGCGTATTGTCAACAGCTCGGTCACCCACATAAATGTCTGTATTATCCTTCAGAAAGTTGAGGCTCCCAGTGGCAACTGCACTGGTCACAAAAGGTGCTTGGTTGTCCACTTCCATTTGCCACCTGGAGGCCTGGGCCAGTGGGTCCGTCATGGAAAGAGTCACTTGGTGCCATATGCCATCATTCACAGACTGCAAACTTGTCAGACTCAGCATATAAAAATTGTTGCCACTTTGCAATTGAAATAATAATCTGGAATCTTGAATGCTAATATTAAGAAATTCAGGCTCCTTCTCTGCATGCAGTATGATCACATTTGCATTCCTTGTTCTGAAACCAAATGTGATATTGGTGAGTTCTCTGGTAATATTCCCGTTGCTCCTGAATAATATTTCACTGCTTTGTGCATTAAAAACAGCATTTGCAATACCTAAAGAAAGAAGGCAACACCAATGAGCAACTTTATTAAATCTGTAATGTTGGCTTCATTACCTTTAGTACTAAAAATGATCATCAGGTTAATATCATCATGTATCAATTGTTTGATATATGTTAGGCACTGTGCTAGTTCTTTTTATATTATTTCTAATACAGAATTCTGGAGCACATTTTTATTATTATTACTATTATGATCCCCATTTCAAAGAAGAAATTGAGACTCAGAGAAGTTAAGTGATTTTTTTTCATAGTCACGTGGCTAATAAATAATAAGACCAGAATACCAAACCTGGATGGTCTGATACCAAAACCCAGACTATACATTTCTTTTCCATTGAAAAAAGGTTACGTGTAGAAACAATGTCTAAAAAAGGTGAAAATGAATGGGATTCAGTGCATGACTAGACGTGGACCTTGGTATTGGAAAAACCTAGGATGTTCACTTGAGTAGAGAAAAGCCAGTTCTCCACCTCCTGGGTGGGTCTCCTTTCCTCTCGCATGACTTCTGCATTCACAGGACCCATGACACCAGATGTGTGAGGCTTTCCTCCACCAAGCAATTCTGCACATCATCATTTTCCTTGTCTTTTCGTTGTTTCCCATTAGCATGCAAATATACTGTAACTGCTCCAGTCTTAGAAAATCAAAACACACGCAAGACTCAAAAGCACGATTCAGCTCCCCATCACCTCACTGCTTCCTGAATTCTCTATTCGCTTTCAGGGCACAACTTCTCCAAATAGTTTTATATTCTCATTGTCTCCACTTTCTCATCTCTCATTTTCTTTTTAATACATGCTGCTCGGCCTTTTGTGCCAATCACTTCACCTAAGCCAAGCTTGCTGTGTCACAACGACCTCTGTTACTCAATGTAGAAGTCAATTCTCTATTCTCATTTTCTTGCACTTTTCAGTAAAAACTGACCTTAAAAATGTTGTCTTTGCCTCAATTGTGGGGCACCACACCCAAACAACTCTTTTCATATAGACTATTCTAATTATTTCTCAGTGTCCCTTCTTCTGTCACTCTGCAGATCAATATAACAACCACTCCTTAGCTCAAGACCTCCATTGGTTACCATCGCATCTAGAAAGAAATCCTAAATCCTAAACATGGCCTGCAAAAGTCTCTGTGATCTGACCCTTGATTAACTATTCAATTCTATTTGCTATCACCCTCTTCCTTATTCACATGCTACAGCCACAAAAACTTCTTGCCATTCTTCGAAGACATCAAACTTTTTCCCAAATCAGGCCTTTTAACTTGCTGTTATTTATACTTGAGTATTCCTACCCCAGATCTTCCCACAGCCTATGTGCTCAAATGTCACCTCCTCTGAGAAGCTTTCCCTGACTGTTCAAGTTAAAATAGCTTCTTCCCTGTAGCCACTCTCTGTTCCATTACTCTGCTTTATTTTCTTCCTAGTATTTATAACTATTTGAAATTATGTTGTTCATTTGCCTACTTTTCTTTAACTGTGTTTCTGCACTAGAACATGTGCTTTCTGAGATCAGGGACTTTCTCTGTTTAGATTATTACTAAATCTCAATGCCTAGAACATTGCCAGACATATAGTAGGTAAACATTACTAAATATATAATCTGTAAAAATAACTCCTGTGTCCTCAATTCTGGAAAGGGAGATAATGATTAGAAACCATTGCAGGAGAAAATTCAAGTGTATCATTCTAGTGTTCAATTCAAATGTATTATTTGGATTAAAATTTCACTTGATTTTATTACTTTTATTACTTTTGACTGTAGTGATTTTCCCACCAAATTTGGGGCTGGGATTAGGGAGGGAAGGAGCAACAATGTCTTAGTCCTTGTTTTTAAATAAATGTTAAAATAACAAACTCATTAGCTCTCTCCAACTCCGAAAGGAAGAACATGTTCACATAACAGTATACACATAACAGTATTTGTATTTCACCTTTTCTTCGGGGAACTGTATTGTAATAAACACACCTGTATATAAGGTGTGTATAAGGTGGGTTGTAAATTTTGAAGTCTTCGTTTTCTGATAGGATGCCCTAAAGGCAAACTCAGGGTGATGTATGAGCTATATTATGTTATTCTATTAGACTTAATCTTCTCAGTATATCTTACTTGAAAGAAAATACAATAGGGTCATAAGATCACATAAAATTAAAATTACACAAAGTAGCAAAAGTGTGTTCTAGGGTTCATACCTGTCAATTAGTAAAAATTCACCCCTCTTATTGATTTACATTTTCTTCCTTCATTAAGATAAGTCGTACTTTAAAAAAAATGTTATTGAGAATTTTGGGGAGATCAGAGGCAAACTTTCTACTCTTTCTGTAGTGGGAATGCAGTAGCAGTGAAGTTTCACTTAACTGCTTTCTAACGCCGCACGTCCAAATCCTAAACTGCTTTATGTATAGGCTGAAGACCAATACACACCAGGGGTATGGTTCTTGGTCTGCCATTGTTTTTAGAAATCCTATTCTTTTTTTGCCCCTGTGAAAATATTCCAAATGATGTAAACCCTTCTGTAGAACATAACTGGGACTAAGAACTTTAGAACTTTAAGATTTCTATCAAAAGATTGACAATAAAACTAATAATACTTTATTTTAAACAAGCAGTTTGGAGGTAGAACAATGGAAAGGTTGTATTTAAAATTTGGTGCCACGTTAGAAACCAAATTGCATTCTTTATGCCAACTCATCATGCTTTATATACTCCATATATACCATAATACTCTACTGTAATATAGTATATGTATTTAAAACATGAAACATAAAAGTATATGTATTCTGGAAAATTTTCCCAAGTATATATATATATATAGGACAACACATTTCATATATCCATCCTTTTCATATATGTTTTGAAAATATAGAAACAGAAAAGGAAATATATTCTCTTTTCTTCAGTCACTGCAGCTCAGTTGCAATAAATCTGAGGTCATTCTATTCTCTGGTTCCATTCCATTATTTTAGTATGATGTTTTCCAGGGTGATATATGTTATCACTTAAAGTCTGGAGCAGTTAAGTGAAAATATTGAGTTAATTTTAAGAAAAATAATGTTATTTTGTTCATTTGACAAACATTTATTGACAATCTCCTATATGTTTGGCACGATTCTAAGTGCAAAGAGTAATGTGAGAAACCAAATAGGAAATTTCTTTCCCTTTTGAAATCTATATTCTAGTGAGGAAAGGGATGATGAACAAGTAAACAAATACATATACAACAAAACATGAAGGAGTCATAAGAGATATGAAGAAAAATAAAGCCAGGTAAGTGGATACTTGGGCTGGAACCTGAGTCAAGTGATGAAGGCAACATGCCCAAGCTCTGAGTTAAGCAAATTCAAGACAGAGGTGGGGTGTGAGGGCCCTGATGGAATGGGGTAGAAGAATGTATGGAGTTAGACATCAGAGGCAAATTGACGACAGCACTTTAGAGGATTTATCACACTATGAGAGGAAGTAAAAAATGGAATGGGTAGCTGGTGGGGATGAGGGGTGGTCAAAGGAAATTTTTTGTAATGAGGAAATGTGGCAGTGTGTTTATACACTGATAGAAAAGGTAATGATGCTGAAGAGAGAGAAAGTTTAGAAGCAAAATCTTCAAATAAAGGGGGGAAATTAGAATTCAGTGCAAACATGAAGATTTGTTATTACGATTAGACTGCATTATATGAAGTAGGAGAGAAGAGAAAATGTAAATAATAGTGTGGTTAGTATGTAGACATGTCAAGACTGTGAAATTGTATTCAAATTTGCTAACTTTTGGAAAACTGTGGTCTTTAGTACTGAAGATGGGCAAGGGAACATTTCAGATTGAGGAAAATACTTGGAAAACAACAGAATGCCCAATGTGTTTGTCTTTTTATACTTAAGGTTATAAAATCATCACATACACACCAAATTTTTTTATCTCCCTATCAAGTAGATGTTTTATCCCTATTTAGAGAGAAAGCTTTAGATTACAGAGATCATGTGAACTGCCCGAGCCTTCACAGTTAAGATAAGGCCGTGAGCTCACGCTAGGACTTGACTCTGTATTCCCAATAATGAGGAAAGGAAAGCCAAATATTACTTGGTTAATTTCTTCAGAAATTAGCTTTAAATAATCAAAGATCTAAGTCTGGTGTTGTTCTGACCTCCATTTCCCACCACACCTCCACCCCCGCGGAAACCCAGGGGCAGGATGAGGCATGAAGCCAATCTGGATATTATTATTATTATTATATTAGGTTTATTGTACTACTCAAGTCAGGGCAAAGAGCCACAGGTTCCTTTGGGAAGCAAGGTTTGTCTGAATTCTTTTTCTGGGCTGCCTCGTGGAACTGCAATACCCAACTTAATTGGATGGGTGACAACCTTAAACTCCACCTACATTCAAATCCTCGGGGCACCTCCCGGCACTGGGCTCTGGGAGGACACGGGCTGAGCTCACACCACCGGACTTGCTCGCATGCTTTCCCAGCTGTGTTCGCAGGGCAGGAACATGAGAAGTCATCCCACAGGGAATAACACACACCTCCGTTGTGACAGGGGTTGCACTGAGCAGAAAAGAAAGCAAAGGCATAAAAAGCACTGGTAACTAACTGCGGAAATAGTAAAGGCAAGACCCCATAACTGCTATTTTTTAAATGCTAATTTTCTACATATTTACACTTTGAACTTTTTATATCCATTGGTTAACAAATGGAATAAAACTTACTGCTACCATTGCCAACTCTTCTCTAAAAGAGAAATGGGGAGAGAAAGAAACAAAAAGAAAGAGATGAAATAAGAAAGAGAAAATAGATAAAGCCGATTTTTTACAACACAAGGAGGATTTTAAAAGGTGTAATAACATTCTCTGGAGGGGCACCTGGGTGGCTCAGTTGGTTAAGCGTCTGCCTTTGGCTTAGGTCATGATCCCAGGGTTCTGGAATCGAGCCCCACATCAGGCTCCCTGCTGGGCAGGAAGCCTGCTTCTCCCTCTCCCGCTCCCCCTGCTTGTGTTCCCCTCTCTCGCTGTCTCTCTCTCTGTCAAATAAATAAATAAAATCTTAAAAAAAAAAAAGAAACATTCTCTGGAATTTCCAAGTTACCAGGCACTTTCAATCACACCAATTACCATTTGAGGTAGAGGTTATTACTCCTGTTTGCACTAATGAGGAAGCAGAGGACCCTCCTGTTACCCAAGATCCTAATAAAAAAACAAACATTGAAGCTTGGTACCTAGATCCTCTGGGTCCAGATACAGTGACCTCTTCAGTTGCCCTGCCTCTCAGTCAGAGACATACTATTATTATCCAAGTTCTTAAAATGTTTCTCACAAAATATCCAAAATGAAAGTATTTAAAAGGGAATTTCTGAGAGCTGAGATGGTATTGATCTCAGTCCCACTGTTAAGATGTGATTTAGGTGAGTTACATAACCTTTCTAAACTTCAATTTCCGTATCTGCAAATGACATAAATGGGTAATAACAATGCCTATTGTACACAGCAGTCCTTCAACAGAATTAAATGGATTCATCTATGTAAAGTAGTGTCTGGCACATTGGCAGTTCTCCTCAAGTAATGTTAACATGATTCATTTTTGTACATTTAGAAGCAAGCCCAGTGCATGGCAATAGTCAGAGCTCAATAAATGTTCAACAGATATAAATGTGTTTCCTTTCAAAGGTCATGCAGAGCTGACAAATTCACATATTTAAATAGTGTTTGGAAGAGCATACAAAATACAGAAGGTAAAACGTAGCCTCAGGGAAAATATATTTCAGAGAATTTTAAATCCAACTACCAGAAGAAAGTCACCACTCAGGGTTTTTGTTGTTGTTGACTTCATAGTCAAAAACAACGGTAGTTGGGCATTTAATATAAATGACATGATCTCTTCCAAAATGAATTAATTCAGTTAAACCTCTGGGATGCCATTAAGAGTTTGGGGATTAAAATACTATTATTCTTGAGCAATTTGTTTGTTGTGGCAGTAGAAGCATGTGGCTGGAGTTATCTTGGATGGTTAAATAGACCATGATGCCATCAAGATCAAGGCCATTTTTTTATGGCTCCATATAATTCCCCCAGTCTTGCTGGAAAAATATTGATGAAGTGTTATTCTATGGCTGGTGGGTCAGTAACATTATCTTCACATACAAAGAATGGTTATAACAAATTATTTAATGAAACAACAGTTTAGCATACAATATAGACGTAGTTTGTGTGAATAATCCTACCTTGCACATGTTGTCTCCAGGACAGCCGTGGGTCACATTGACAAGAATTGGATTGTGGGATGCATTGTTTGTTGAATTTGGGAAGAATTCCAGATTTTGGTTGTTTAATCTTATATCTTGGATACAGCCTTTAAAGAAGCCACCATTAGCTTCCGTCTCTGGTCTGTCAGGCAGGCCACCGATGTAGATGACATCTCCTTTTTGGATTTTCCATGTAGGGACAGAAATAAATCCTAGGTTTTGTGAAGACTGATATAGTTCAATTTTATTTGGCTTGATTTTCAAAGATATCAAGTGGACATTTCCATCACTAAGAATGAACTGTACTACTAACTTGGAAGAACCTGGATGCAGCATTGCTAGTCTGCCATACTCTAGCCAAACACGGATGTATTGATAAGTGCTGTTTTCCAAAGCTAGGAGTAAGCCTGATGGTCGATGTGTTCGAACAAACATAGAGATGGTAAAGTTCTCTCCATAACTCTTGTCAAGATTAAAAGCAGCATATCCAGTGGAGTCATCCTGGCCAAATCTGCCTGCCACATACTCTTCAGTGTCAAAATAGAACAGGAGAAACAAAGAAGAAACACTTTAAGATTCACAAGTAAGAAGGGCCAGAAGATGAACACACACACACACACACCCATATATATTTTTTTAAAGTTTAGAACAGGCTTTTTCAGTAGAATGACAATTTGGTCTCATTTCTCAAAACTTCTGAGTTTACTGAAATGTAATCAGTTTATTGACTTTTCTGAAAATAACTACATTTTGGTTTATAGTTTATATTTGAGGCCCCTTGATCACAAAACGGAAAGAGAAAAGATCTCTGTGCTGATAAACTTAAGATGTACCTCTCCTTCACTGCTCTGAAATGCTGGGGTTTAATGGTGGAATATCAGATACCACTGTCCTCCAACTTAGTGGAAGAAATTTGAGGAATAAGATCTCTTACTGTAACATCTCAAAGCAGACTGTTCAGGCATCTGTCATCTTTGCTATTTGAGGACATGCTGAAGCAAATGTCATTACTTCTAATCATTCTTTCTAAAGGACAGAAATCAAGAATTAGATTTGCAAATCCTCTTTGGGGATGATACTCCAAATAATAATAAAAGGCAAGGGAGTTGAACAAAGAAAGAGGAATCTTCCCTCTGTGGTCCTGGTTGGGAGAGGCATGGGAGACAGACAAATAGAAGGAGGGAGGCAAAGATGAGCCTTGAACTCACCCAGAATTTCCTGTTTAAAGAAGTTAGTAATGCACTAATATGGCAATACTATCGGTATACATCAACTCAAGAAAACTCTCGGGATGTATAAAAATGAACCCTTACCTTCCAAAATATTGATGATATTGTAGGAACTAAAGTTCCTGTGGGTTTTTTTTTTTTTTTTTGAGAGAGTGACTGGGGGTAGGGTGGGCAGAGGGAGAGGGAGAGAGAGAGAATCTTACTGATGCAGGCTCCACGCCCAGTGCAGAGCCTGACACGGGGCTTGCTCTCACTACCCCAAGATCATGACCACAGGATCTTGACTTGAACTGAAATCAAGAGTCAGATGCTTAACCAACTGAGCCACCCAGGTGCCCCTAATGTTCCTGTCTTCTTAAAGCTTATATTCTAGTTGGTGGATGCAGACCAGACACAGATAAAGAAACAAACTATGTAGCATGTCAGGTGTTGATAAGTCTTTAGGTATAGAATAAATCAGGTAGGGAAAGGGAACAGGGAGGGCTGGGCATAGAAGTAGAGTTGCGATTTTTTAATAAAGTAGTGAGAGAAGTACTCTCTGAGAAGATAACATTTGAATGAGAATGGAAAGAAGGTAGAGATATTGTTGCAGAAACTTCAGAGAGAAGGGATGGTGGCTTGGATCCATGGTAACGGAGGAGGTGATGAGAAATAGTCAGATTTTGGAAATAATCAGATTTTGGAAATATTTTGAAGGAAATATCATGAAGAACCTACATGATTTTCTAGGGCAAGTATTTCCATTTGCAGAAACTGAAAAGAAAACAAGAGGAACAGATCTGGGGGGAAAGTGAGAGTCCACATTAAATTTGGATGGAACTGTCTAGATTTGAGATGCACCTATCAAGGTGGAACTGTCTAGTAAACAGCCATAGAGGTGCAGAGGAGACATTCTGGGGTAGCTATAATTATTTTGGATTTGACAGTGTAATTAATGCTATTTAAAGCCACAAGACTGGATGAGATCATCAAGGGAGTGAGTATACACAGAGAAAAGAACAGGTCCAAGAACTGAGTCCTTAAGCACCAAACATTTGGATTTGGAGGTCAAGGAGATGACAAAAGAGCAGTAGTAAGATAGGAGGAGAAACAAGGGAGAGTGATGTCCCATAAGCCTAGTGAGGAACGGAACGAGTTTGTCAGGAAGAGGGAGTAGTTAACTGCATTTACTCTTGCTGCAATGGTATCCCATCAAGAGAGTTGCAGTAAGATGAGGACTAAAAATGGACCATTGAACTCTGTAATCTAGAAATCACTGATGAATGTGATGAGAGAGATCTTGAAGAGATGGCTATCTTCAAGTTTTTACATCCCAATGCTAACCAGAAACAAGACAGATTTTACCATATTTCATTGTGTTTAAATATCGTCATGGTCCAGTTGAAGTTTGGGCAAAGGTAAGACATATTTTAGTGTAGCTGAACTACAGTTAAAACTTGCTTAGGCAACCATCTGTGTTTGAAGACCTCTTGCATAAAAGGCTACATTTTCAGAACTCTGACTTGATTTTCTACAGAAATATTGCATTTTTGAATCTGCATTTGGAGACCACCTGCTCCAGGCAACTACAGGTAGCTTTCAAAGTGTACTGTTAAATAAAATAACCCATTGGAAGAGGTTAACATCTCTGAATACACTGCAGCACTTTCATATGAGATAAATGTTTAATAGGAAAATGTGGCTCCTGAAGCTCCTGAGGTTTGAGAATATGCACAAAATCATTCAACCTCATGGGTGTTCGGGACCCTGCTGGTCATCCTAGAATGCCTGCAGATCACTCTGTGGATCCAAATTAAAAGACAGAACACAGAGCTCTTTTAGGGGTTTTTTTTGTGTGTGTGGTGTTTTGTTTTGTTTTGTTTTGTTTTCTCAGAAGCTTGAGTCTCCAGCAATCCCATTGTTCTTCAGAAATCACAAGCAAGTAGTCGGAGGTGGTGATTTACTACATGATTTTTAGAAACACCCGAAGCCATGTATGACTTGTTGTGAACATGGGAGGAATGATTCTCAATGGTGTTGTTGATATGTCATGAAGAGGGATGGCAAACGCAGATGAAAAATATGCTTCAAATTCTAATGATTGGTAGACTAGGACAAGGTGAAATTTACTAAGAATAAATAAAAGCTTCTCGCTTCTAAATGTACCTCATTTAGGGTGGAAGAAGCAGGATTCTATGGCACCATGAGTAAGAATGACTCAAAGTGAGCCAAGCGTAGAACGTGGTTGCCAAAAAGTCCAAGTAATATTAGGCTGCAAACAGAAGAACATTGTCTAGAAAGAGAGAGGTTATAGTCCTGTGTCACTCTGCATCATCAGGCACATCTAGGAACCAGATAAGTAAATTTATTCCAAAGCAAGCAACAAGCAAGCAGCTGATGAAGTGTCTGAACGTTACGTCATATGGAAAACATTAAAAGAAACTGGATATGTTTAGCATGATAGAAGTGATGGCTTGGATGGTATAAGATACTTCAAATATTGAACTCTTCTCAAGAAGAAGACATGTAAGATTTATATTAGTATGATTTCAAGAGTTATAATGCTGCCAATGAATGAAAGCTATAAGTAATCATATTTTATTTCAGTATAAGAAACAACCTTGGGGTAGTTTTTGGTAAGATAGAATAAATGAGTTCTTCATTCCTAAAAGTGTGTAAACAGAAGTTTGGTCACTACCCTCGGCAGGCACAATAGTTTAAAAAATACAGTCATAGAGTGAAGCCTCCTCTATATCTAAGAAATTGCAACTCTAACTGGGTAAGAGTCTCAAAGTCTAGATGTATGACTGAAGAGAAAACATATGTAAATTGCCTCTACAAATTAAAAATATTCTCTAGAAGGCAAGAGGTCTTCATTCTGAACAGTATCTTGGCAGCTCCGTGGTCTTATACACAGCCAACACAAGAAGATACATTGAGACAGTTCTGGGAACTGAGCTTTGAGAAACACTTTCCAGAACTCCCCTTATTGAGACATTTGATTATTTTTAAAAAGATCAATGTAAAAATATTGTAAATCTCCATGTCATTCATGTTTAGTCAGCCAACTAAATCCTCCATCCATCCTGCTTGTTCATTGCGATGGATTGGGAAATACTGAGCCAAGATCAAGAACTGAAGGAAGTTTGCCTTGGTAAATGTTAGTACCTCTCCTCCCTCCTGCGTGTATGTGTGCAATGGTAGAAAGGCTCCCTCTTCTCTCTGCAGCTTGTAAGCCTCTTCTGTAATGAGAATAAACTTCCCAGCAAACATAATAACACCAGTACAGAATATTTTAGTTTTATGACTGAGGCGATATGAAAAATATAATCTTTCTTAAACTTATATTAAGAAGTTTTGGGAAAGAAAAGATTTTATAGAACTCCCTCCCTATACAGGTCACTTTTGAAGCCAAGCATTTCCACGAGGATTGAACAGTTTCAAATAGTGTGGGGGTGGGTGGGGGGGGATAAGGAAACTGCGGGAGGTAGGGCACGTAACGAATTCAGAAACTTGGTTTAAAAACATCATAATTTTCCAAGTTGGAATAAATAAACTAAAGAAAACCAGAACCCACTGGATTGGCATCCCTTGAAACTATTTACCAGGACAGCTAGCATCACCGTGGTCAGTATTAACCTATGGGTCGCTGCATTTGGAAACCAGTCAAAACGAGTCAGCATCTGTTTGTTATTTTGTATATGTAGTAAAAATATTGCCGTGGGTCAATTAATTTTTTCTTCAAAAAGTGAACAGTGCCTCAGCATAATTTCCCCTTTAAAAAAAATCACAAAACAACCTGCCATTCTATTTAAAATATTACATTGAGCTAGTAGATGCCATACCTCATTGTCAAACAGGTCCATGATTTGCAATGAATATTGTGGTTGGGGCGGGGGAGACCCATGAATAGTTTCTAATAACTCTTAGCCATTCATACATGGAATAGGGTATAGGCTAAGACTGGTTTTAATTTTACTTCATATAAAGCAGAGAAGACTATTTACCAGATGTTGTCCTACTTCAAGTTGCTCTAAAATCTTAGGGTAAATTACAGCTGAACTTCAAAGCAGTCTGTTGCAATTACCTCTTAAGACATTTTCAAGGCATGATAATAATAAAAAGAAACAGGTATGTATTGATCACTATCAACAGCAGCAGTCTTTGGAACGATGTTGGAAGTTTAGGATTTTAAAATACATTTCAAGCTGTGATTTGCTAAAAAAATCAGGTCAATTAGTTTATGGTATCTATAAAATTTCACTGTTGTTACTATCCACATTTTTTTCTTTTTTTTTCCTTAGGACACCTATGTAGAATATCCATTTCCTCCAAAGCAGCTCTGGAAAATATACCTCTGAATAGAATCAGTGGTTTATAAAAGTGCTAAACATAAACATGAATTTGGAGCAAGTGTGAATTGCATAGAACAGAAAGCAAGGAAGTAAATATTTCCTAAGAGTCTACTATGCACAAGACATTGTGCCAATACTTGGCATTGACTAATTTCGTGTCTAATGGTCCTTTTTTCCAAAAGATTATCTCTCTTTTAAATACGATTTACAATACATTTCTGACACCACAAATTGTAATAGCACTTTGTAAACACATCAAGATGAAAACTCATTTAGGTAGGAGCTGTCTGCTTTTTTTTTTTTTTTTTTTTTACTTCTCTGCATGAATGACACCCTGGTGTCTAATGAATACACTCAAAATTAATTAATGCACATTACTAGTCTCTTCTTTTTTTCTCGTCAGTTGGCAACCAGAAGCAGAAGTCCTGAGGGGTCATTACGTTTCACAACAGGAGAGGCAGACTGGCTGTTTTGTTACTGTGATGCTGTGAGGCACAGCACTCCTGACTGCCCCGCCTTCCCTCACCTCTCAGGCAGTTGGGGCCTTTGTAGGGCCTGTAGCAATCACATTGGTAATTAAGCCACAAGTTGCTGCAGCGTCCTCTGTTTTGACAAGGTTGTCTTTCACACCAATCCTTTCTCACACAGCCTGCCTTGACATTTAAAGAGGAGCCAGATGAAATATCCTCCAGAGTAATGTGATTCGAATCAATTTTAACGTCTCGGAGACAGCCTACAAATGAAGGTGTGGATGGTATATTATAGACATTAAGCAGAGCAATGCCGTTGCTGGTCATTCCTCCCGGCAAACCACCCAAAAAGGAGTTTTGAAAAGCACATATTGATTGATCACTTTCAAATGGAGAAGGAGCTTTCGTGATGCATTTCTCCTTACAAGAGTTGTCAAGTAAAGTTAGGGTCACAGCCTCTGCAAACATCACCTCCACCGAATGCCATTCCCCATCGCTGGTGTTGTGGGAAATGTAGAGGAGCACCTTTGACTGATGATTGACTTGGATTGATAAGTGAATGTAGCCACTTAGCAACTCCAGCATTATAAACATGTCCCTGTTGCCGCGGAAAAGTAGAAGGGCCATTGGCTGAACAGTCTGGAACCCGAGGGCTATGTTACAAACTAAGCCCTTGCCTGTAACTGGGCCACTTGTGATCCACAGGAAGCCATTGCCCTCAAAAGAAAGTGTGGTGACAAGTTCACACAATGACCCAGTATAGCCGGAGGGACATAGGCAGCCGAATCCATGCTGGCCATTTTGGAAGTGAGGGATGCATATTCCATTATTCAGACATTGGTGATGGGTACAGCCCAGGAGAATATCAGAACAGTTCCTTCCTCCATAAAACGTTCCCGAGTGGTTATCAAATGGGCAATGGCAAGTATAACGACCAGGCAAGTTCTCACAAGTACCACCATTTTGGCAAGGGTTTGGAGAGCATTCATCAATGTCTTCTTCACAGTGGATTCCTGTTAAATAATAAAGAATAGGTTGAAATTGTATATATTCAGATCAGAAATGGAAGTTCACATAATTTCCATGTATAATCAGTGGAGGTGAAGAGCTAGCTCAGGTTTAAGACCATAATGGAATAAAATGTAAATAGTTATTGAGGAAGTTAAAATCGATTATATCATTCCGTGTGTGTTGTGCAGACAAGTGCAGTCACGGAAGACCCTGAATTCTTCCTCTAGAAATAAACTATTTGCCAAATATAGGGGTTGACTCAAACTACTATTGTCAGACAAGTATCTGGAACTCAATGTCATAAAAATGATAAAAGAGAAAAAGTGATGCTTGATACAAATTATTTGGAGACTTCATTTTCTGATAGTGTATATCCTGTCCCAGGCTGCTTTTACTCTATTCTACTTGAAATTGGCGATTTTGCCTCTTACCTTATTTTTACTTCTCCATGATCCCTAAAACCAAAGTTTGTCAGATACATAGATAGTCTAGACAACCCTCACCATGGACAGCTTCTGAGATGAATGGAAGGCCCTGTTTCCTCCTTTCCATAATTCTAGTATAAACCATGAAATATATCCCATAACATGCTCTGTCTTACAGTTTTAACTTCACTTTCTTTCACTCTTTTTCCTGATTCCAAGTCTCTAATTAGAGAATTATTAGAATTCACGCAATCAAAGTAACAAGAAGAAATACAACACCTTTCAAGAGTGGTGGTTATTGCTTTTCTAGTTCAAATAAACAAATAGGATGACAACAATATGCACTATATGGTTTCCCTGACATCTTCACCCACATAATGTGTCTGTGCCTACCTAGTCTTCCGAAGTTTGCAGGGCAGATTTTTCTTAGCTCTCTTTCACAGAAGATACTGAGACCTAGAAAGACTGAAGTCTAAACTCCAAAGCACTCCCACAGTCGGCTTTCTAGGTTTTTAAAATCCAATCTGACATTATCTGTTCTTTAACTGACAAATTTGGTGCATTCTCATTTGTTGTCATTACTAATATGTGTTCTTATTTTCCCATTTTATCCCATGCCCAAACATACGTATTAAAAGTACATAAAACATAAAACATATAAAATATTAAGTATTAAATTTAAATTATAGAAATTTAATCAAAGGCTCCTATATTGAAGCGTTGGATCTGAATCCCAGAGAGGCCGCGAGCAGGTTACATTCACTTTTTGTGTCTCCATTTTCTCATCCGTAAGATGGTGTTAATAATAGTCCTTACATCACAGGGCTTTTAAAAGTTAGAATTACTCTCACATCTTATATGATGATCATATAACATGATCATAAGACGATTATAACATTGCTTGATATATAATAAATTCTCAGTAAGTGTTGGCTGTTATTAAAAAGTGATAACCAAAGGAAATACCCTCTAATGATAAAATTCAAATAGTACTATAGTTATTGAGAGAGACTGTTTGGAAGGTATGGGCATATGGAGTGACCCACAAATGGCATAACTTTACATAATGAGCATATTAGCCTAGAATCTCATTACTCTTCATGAGGGAAGAGAAAATGTCTGTTTTATTCACCAAAATATGTCTAAACCATAGCATAGTGTCTGGCTCACATTTGACACTTGGTAATTTTTGAATTGATTACTGATGACCCTTGTAAGATGATTAAAATATTTATAATGCATTTAATCTGATCCAATCCCAAACCTGAAGTGCTCTTCTTATGCATATTTTCAGGTAAATGTATCCAATGTTAATCTTTGCCCATTGCCATTTTGTATGCCATTTAGACTCTTAATAGGATCCTGTTATACTTACATTTTTACACTACTTGGATTGCTTTCACACAATCTTTGTTGATCCAAAACTATTTCAAGCTCTGTGAAAAGACTGAACGTTTATTCTCTTAGTTAGAACCTCCCACAGCACCTCCACAGTGCTGAGCATATATGCATTATGAAAAGCTCAATGAGCAGGAAAAATAAAACCAAATTGAACTGATTTATCTGTTATGTAATCATCCTTATAAGTAAAGAAAACTGACACAGGAATTACAGGCTATTTTCTAAAGGAGTGTTCTAATGCAAATTTAATTTAACTGAATTAATGAAAAGTCCAAATATTTGTATTGGAAGATTTTTTTTTTTAGGATTTATGTATTTATTTGAGAGAGAGAGAGAGAGAATGAGAGTGTGCAAGTGGGGGGAGGCGCAGAGGCAGAGGGAGAGAGAGAACCCTGGAGCAGACTTTCCGCTGAGTGTGGAGTCCCGATATGGTGGGGCTCCATCCCAGGACCTGAGATCATGACCTGAGCCGAAATCAAGAGTCAGCTGCTTAACCAACTGAGCCACCCAGGTGCCCCTGTATTGGAAGATATTTTACTTGAATTTGATTTTCATAGGATTTTGAGAACAAAAAAAGTAATCCGTAATCATTAATTAGGAGGAATATTGAACAACTCATGGGTTATAATCAAAGCAAAATACTTCTTTTTTCGTCCCACTATGCCTTTAAATACATTTCACTGAGGGAAGACTTTTCCTTCCCCCGCTCTGTTCCTCCATCTGAGTCGCCAGAGACCTGTGAGGCAGTCATTGCTTCTTTGACCAGTTGCTCTCACACTGCCCCTCCCCAACCCCTTCATTCTTGGTTTACTGAGGTTCAAGCCTTCACCAACTCTCTCTGTTGGGGCTCTCTCACCTTCCGACAGAAGCCTGTTGGGCAGAATCTCTTTCACACTGACCACTGACTGATATTCCTACCATGAGTTCCCTATGTGGGCCTGGGGATTCATGTGCCTTTGACCTGTGGTTGGAGGGGGGCACATTTACTTCCCAGCACAACACCGGCAGCACTTCTCTCTCCCTCTTTCCTGCTGCCTTGGGTTAGATTGTAGATTCCTCAGGTAGCTAGAGAATCCAGCCTAAGTTGCATATGCCACCCACCCCTTCCTCAAATTTAGATGAGATTGATTCTCCTTAAAGCAACTCGCTCTGCTTGGGGTCAGAATCTAGCTTCCAACCCTAAAACTGTGTAGTGGGGTACAACTCACAGCACAGCAGCAAAACTCTCCAAAAAACTCTCTTTACAGACACATTGCTTCAAATTGCCTCTTAAGAACTTTCATATATATTTAAAATGCATAAACATTTCAAAGCCTGAAGCCTAGTATTTATTTTGACATTCTGCATTATAGTCTTTTTTTGCTTTGGTACCTCACAGTGACCCTATCTTAACCTCTTAGTTGAAACTCCATTGTAGTGGTTTTTCAAATTCACAAAATATCTTCTCTGTGCCTTGCTCTCACAGAGGATTGCAAAGTAGAAGAGACACACCTGTCTTCAATATGCTTACCATGATAATATTACATTATAATTACATTAGAATAACATAGCACATATTTATGAATATACAGTGTAAAGAGCAGGTTCTCACTGAATGTATGGTTAATATGGGAGGCTCAAACTCAGGGAACTTTAGAGAAGATTTACAAAGTTTTAGGAGAAAGGTATTGAATGAGAGATAATCATAAATATGTACCTATGAAAACTCAATATTGTAAATTAAATCAATAAACATATTGATTACATAACTACCACATATCAAGTGCTGTGGATAATGTGGACTGGTCTCTGTCCTCAGTGAGTTTACTGGAGAAAAACTTGTAAAAATTTAAATGATAGTGTGAGTCAAGACAATACTGAAGAGATAATCACTAACCAGTGTATGATGAATTCCAAGTGAATTGTATAAGCAATAACTCAATAATGATGAGTCTTCGGACAGAGATATCTCTTCAGCCTGGCCTGGTTGAGGAAGTCTTGAAGGAGATAGGATTTAATACAGGTTTTTAAGTGTGGATCAGTTTGACAAAAAAGTACATGGAAATAACGGAATAAACGAAAACACATCAATGGAAAAGCGTAAGACACTTAGAAGTGATGGTGATTTGTCAATCTTGTTGGCATGGAGGATTTATGAAGGAAAAATCAAGTCAGAAAGACTAAATATAGTCAGATTGGAGAAGGCCTGGGGATATCCAGTTTTTATTGTTTTGCTTTATTTATTTATGTGTTTGTTTATTTATTTTCTGAATGCAGTGGAGAAAAATGGGTAATTGTTGAATGGAAGACTAACATGGTTTCTCATAACGATCAGTGACACAGGGACTTGTCACAGTAAAATGAGAAGAAACCAGACACAATAAGACACAGAGACAGCTACTAAAATTGTCCATACCTAAGATTATTAGCATCTGCTAAAAGACATTTAATTTCTTACAATTCATGGTATTAATCTTTCACTTATCCTTGGTCAGCAAGTAGGGGCAAATGGTAGTCCTTTCTTTTCGGTTGCTTATTGTATTTTTTCTTATGATTCTTAATGTTTACACATTTGCTCTTTCACAAAATAACTACCAATAACTTGATTATGTTTTTCCTTTGAGTATAAGCAGAGAAGCTAGTTTTAGATTTTACCATCATGGGGCGCCTGGGTGGCTCAGTTGGTTAAGCGACTGCCTTCTGCTCAGGTCATGATCCTGGAGTCCCGGGATCGAGTCCCACATCGGGCTCCCTGCTCGGCAGGGAGTCTGCTTCTCCTTCTGACCCTCTTCCCTCTCGTGCTCTCTATCTCTCATTCTCTCTCTCTCTCAAATAAATAAATAAAATCTTTAAAAAAAAAGATTTTACCATCATGTAAAAAACTGAAACAAAAAAAAAAAGGAAAAGAAGAGAAAGCCTGTATGAAGGTCAATAGTCTAAAGAAAATAAACAATTAGATATTAAAAGTAGAATAATGCAGTTATTTGTAGTTTTGCCTTGTTTAAAACCAGTTCTATTAACATCTCCAGTGTAAAATAAGGTCAGACGTATTTATTTGATGAACCCAGCAAACTAAAAGTGGGAACAAGATTGTAAGTTCTTTTATTGGCTATTCTACTGGCTGGCAAAGAATAAGATCTGCTGTCAATCAAGGTAAAGGGATTAAGGATTACTTGTGTCATTCAGTCTTCTTAATT